TATTAAAAAAAAAAAAAAATTAAAAATCCAGCTGCCAAACAAACAAACAAACAACAACAACAACAACAAAAACCAAAAAAACCGGGGGGGGGGGAGAGGAAGATATAACAACCACAATTGTTTTTGAAGTTCTTACAACAAGAAAATGGAGGGGACACACTTGGGTGGGAGGGGGGAGAGGGAGGAGGGAGGGAGGTTTCGGTGATGGGACACAATAATCAACTACATTGTATATTGACAAAATAAAAATAATTAAAAAAAAAAAAAATCCAGCTGAGACACTTGGCTTGCCTCATCCTAGCCCTGGCCCTGCTGTATAGTTAGCACACACCAGAAAAAGCACTCAGGCTCATGTGCCCAGGAGAAGCAAGTGAGAAGTGCATCAAGTGTACACTGCGCAGGCTGCTTTTGGGAGTGTGAACTGGTGCAGCCACTCTCAAGAAGAATTTGGCACTATCTGGAAAACCGAAGAGGTACAAAACCTTCCACTCTAACATTTCACTTCTAAATATATGTGTGCTGGAGACCAGTGTTTTTACAAACTCTTTTAACCCTGACCTATAACATGAAGCATACTTCACATCGAAACCCAGTATATGCACACATAACCTCACACTGAAACGAGTTTCTCAAAACAATACTTCCCCTTACTCTCTATACTTCGATCTTTTCTATTTTGTTTTGTTCTATTTAACTTTTTAAAGTATGCTAATTCTGGTCTCTCGATACTGATTTTACAACCCACTAATTGGCCACAACCCACAATGTGAAGAGCACACCCTAGAAAGCTGCATGTACTCCTTTGAACTGTTGCATAGTATTACACACAACGATTCATTTATCCACAGCAGTCAACATTTTTTTACCTGCACTGGAGAAATATGTACAAGTATAAGAATGTTCACTGTAATAAAGTTTGTAATAACAAAAAATTGAAAATAACCTGAATTTCTATCAATGGATAATGAATAAATTGTGTACTCATACAATGAAACACCCTACAGCAGTTAATATGACAGCTATACATAAAATCATCAATCTCACAAATACAATGGCAAGTGGAAAAAATCAGTTGCTGACTGACTGTGTATTCTAAGTTTTAAGAGCAAATGAATTCTACATGTAAGTAACACACATGAAGTAAAAGGAAAAACGTGTGTGATCCCTCAGAAGACAGATGCCTTGTCCCAGACTCTCTGGTAGCTGGGTGTGTACTAGCAGCAACTAGGAACCTTCCTGAAAATATATCTAGTATGTACCTTTTGACCCTTCTTCATCTTTTCTTGCACTTGCTGGATGTGATTACTGGTGCTGGAGCAGCTATCCCTGACCATGAGGTGCACAAAGGAACCGAGCCCACACATGGTGGAATGATAAGAAAGAGCGAGCCTAAGTCTCCACAGACTCTTTGAAGCAGAGTCACCATACCAGTGACTTGGGCAGCAGTCCTGAACTGCCTCCCTCTGGGCTTTTGAATAAGAAAGAAACTTCTATCATTTTTAAAGCCACTGTATTTGGAGTCTCTATTATTTGCAACTGAATCTATTTCTAACTGATGCAGGTATGCTCAAGGAAAATAAAATCTGGCAGGGAAGACAAGACATACGAGCTTGGGAAAGGAGTCTAATATAAAGCTATCAACTATATCACTCAAAATGAGTGGAATGAAGAATAAGTGCTAAGGTTAAGTAAATAAAAATGATTTTACGTCTTCACAGCTCAAGTGTCCTCAATCATCTGTGGTAATATTCTTCACTATCATGTCAATTTTACTGAAAAAAGTTACTCCTAATGTGTGTTTAACATCTCTACACTTCAGTTTCCCCACCTATAAAGTGTAGACAGTAGGATAATTTAATACCGAGCTCACAGAATTACTTTGAGGATTACTGACACATAACAAGCACTCAGTAACTATAAATGTACTGTTTCTAATAAGCCAATGCTTACTTAAAGCCTCATCTTTCACCAACCTGCAATACTCTAGCTTTTCAGTCACTAAACCTCTCTTGAGCCTCAACTGAGTGTCAACCACTGTTCTAGGCACTGGGGATACTACAGTGAACAAATCAAAACTGCCGCCTTCTCGGAGCTTATTATAGTCTAGCTATACCGAACTATCTGAGGTTCTGCTGCACTGGTCCTTTCTATTTACAGGAACCCCTGCTCGAGTCCCCTACCCCTCACTGCCAGTGGCTGACCCCTCATTTTCTTCAGGTTTCATCTTAGACATCATTTCCTCCAAAAGCCTCTCCTGACCAGCACACAACTCAATCAAAGGTCCCTCTGAAGTGGCTAAAGACACCCCGCATTTTAGTCCTGTTACAGAACTTATCATTCTCTACTATAATAGCCCACTGACCGTCTACTTCCCCATTAGACTGTCTATTTCCTTGAAGGTTTCACTGTTGAAACCTTAATACTTGGCATAGTGTCTGGCACAGGGTAAATGCTCAATAAAAAACTTGCTAAATAAATCAATGAGTACATATGGGCCATGGCCCCAAGTGGAAGTTACTACCAGGATTGGCGTGCTCTGTCATTCAAAGCAGCCCGCACAAAACACTGAAAACAAAAAATTAAAACCCACATAAGTATCATACCCAAAGGATTCTTCTTGTCTTTACATTTTTCCTTGAATTCGAGGATAATTTTTTTCATAAGTTCATCAACAGCTGCATTAGAAGGTGCACACACAAGGACCCGGTTTCGTTTGATTTTGGCATTGGAGTTTTCGTCTGAATGCCCCTTCCTCTGGTTCTACAATTTGCCACACATATATCAAACAAACACACACAAAAAATACTGATGAGCTCTATTACATAATTTTAAGGTTTTTCTTTCTCTACTTCCTTGTATGTTTGAAAGCTCCTGTAATACATAGTTAAATAAAAGCATCTACATCTTATACAATATTAAAATTACTCTGGCATAAAATTTTATCATAACTACTCCAAGCCTTTGCCATCTACTGTATCAATACTCAATCCAACCAAAATGAGGCCCAGGAATATACTCAAGACAGGTTGAGTTTCTGGCATTAGATGTATAATGTATAATGTATAATGTATAATGAAGACTGAAGACCACCATTCTAATCTTTAGGATTTATTTCACACAAGGTAGTGTTTTCTGCTCTTTTTACTTCTTTATTACCTTCCCTCCCTCTGCCACCCCCTTCTCTGATACAATTCCACACAATATCAAAAATATATATGAAAAAGTGAAGGGAAAATGGCACTTTAATACTTATTTACATGTCAGTTAATTCAAGTTAAGTAAAACAATGCACCCAGTTAACAGCACCAGTGCCCTCACTCCTACCTACCTCTGTCAGTAAGCGGTACAGGAGGCCAACAATAGTTTTTGATTTTCCTGTTCCAGGTGGTCCATGAATTAGACAGATTTTGGCAACTGATGGTGAATGTTTCACCATGGCATATGCAGTTTCTATTGCTTTCTTTTGGTCTTCATTGAAATCTTTTAGGTAGGCAATCTGTATAAAAAGACACTCATGAGAATGAGTTGTTTTTTCTCCAGTGGCGTAGGAGAGGAAGATAATGAAAAACATCTGTTTGAATTCCTTCCATTCTGTGTCAGACAAAAGCTTTGGTTGTGGTCAGGCAAGCCCCCTAGGTGATCTCTAATCTAAGAACCACTTTCGCTACTGGAAAGAAAGTTAATTACTTACAAATTACTAATTAATGTCTGTAGGCTTCAGCCCACTTACAAGTACCACTCGGTATTTCTGTTTGTGATTCTTATAAATTGCACTTAACTAATCTATACTTCTATCTATTATTTGTTTCTTTTCATATTAGTCAATTCTCTCCTTAGAATAGTAAAAACGTCCCCAACTATTTCTTTCCTAACACAATGTGATATAGTAGAAAAAGCATGAATGTCAGGGTCAGATCTGAGTCTAAATTTCAGTTTCACATACAAACTAGGTCACTAAACTCCTAACCTCTCTGAACCTCAGACTCTGTCATTCATGAAATCTGAAGGTGAGACTTGACTGAGATAATGCACGTGAGAGCCCTAGCACACAATAGGGGTTCAAAAAATACTAGTTTGCTTTTGCATTTCTCTGTGTTAATTCCCTGGATTTTATACACAGCTTTTACAGTGAAAGGTATGTGTTCATGCAAGATGACAACTTCATCTCTGCATATGCAATAATACCAGTCAATACTTCACCAATTATTCAAAAGCAAAATTAACTCCTCTAGACCCAAGACTCCTATTCCTGGATTTTGATCACCTAATAAACAATTAAGTAGGATACTAACCTACCATTTTAATCTTACTCTTCCAGCCTACCTTCAACTTTTTATTGTACTATACCTTTTCCTTAAGTAAGCTAACCTAATATATACTGTACAATATTAAAGAAAACAAACCCCAAACACCATTGTGCATTCGCTGCCTCATGTCTTTAATGTAAACATACAGTAGCAGCTAAAAATGTGACACTTTAATATCCAAACATGAAATTTTCTGGTACTGTATAACCATCACTCACAATTCTCTCAGATGTTGTAGTCAGTAAATCTTTTGTACAGAAGTCCATGGGGTTTGGATTCAGAATAGCTCTGGCCAGCTGGTTCCGACCACCCAACAGAGACATGGCTTTCAACTTCCTTTGTGTAGTTACCAGAGAACTGACTACAACACATTTCACAAGTTCATTCGAATTGGCTGGCAAATTATCTTGTGTCTGGATGGAAAGGTAACACTCAGATTTCCCATTACGTGCTATTACCAAGAAGGAGAAAAAGCAATTTCAGTTACCAGTGAATAATGTTTTCCAGTTAAAAAGGTTATTCATATTTAGGTGTTTTACAACTTATGTTTTTTGTATGATATAGTATTTAAATAATTCAGTCAATAAATATTTACTGAATGCTTCCTAAGATCCAGGTAATGTTTCTTTCCTCCAGAGGCTTACTTTCTAGAAGACAGGCCGATAATCAAATAAACATGTAGGTGGTGATAAGTGCTATGAAGAAAGCAGAGAAAGGGAATGAGGAAGTGAGGAGGGATGGAGGTAGAAAGGCTAGTCAGGACCTACTCCTTTAGGAATGGGAATTATTTTAAGAATATGGAGAAGGCTAGTACGGCTAGAAGGAAAAGTAAAGAGAAGAGTGCTAGATTAAGAGTAAAATAGAGCTATATTTTACAGGGCTCTTCAGACCACAGTAATGACTTTGAACGCTATTCAGAGTCAGGCAGAAAGCCACAGAGCAGCTTTGTGTAGGGAAGTAACGTGCGCTCTACCTTACATATTAAAAGAATCACTCTCACTGCAAAACAAAGAATAAACTGCAATGGGAGAAAGTACAGAAGCAAGAAGACCGCTTAACAAGGTTATTGCAATAAACTAGGTAAAAGACAGGAGCTTGGTCCAGGATGTAGTAGTAGAGGTGGGGACTGGATTTTGTATATATCACAAAGGAAGAATCAATAGGATTTGCTGACAAATTAGACATAGGGTGTGAGAGAAAGAAAAGATCATAGGTGACCCCAAGTTTTTTGGCCTGAGCAACTGAAAGAATGAAGGCCCTATTTACCAAGATGAGAAAGACTAAAGGAAGAGCAAATGTCAGGAAGAAAATCAGCATTCATTTTTGGTTTAACAGGTTTGAAAGGCCTAACAGATCTCCAAACGGAGAACTGTAAAACAGACAGTGTTGATCCATGAGGAGAATTATGGAATGAAGACTGTCCTAGAAATAAAAATTGAGCATATATAATCATTTGCAAGAGCCAAAAACAGAGACTAAGCCCTATATCCCTGTTGCAACTCGTCTAAATACATTCTATACAAAACAGTTAAGCTCTGTCACAATAACAAACACAATACACGATGCTGAAGTCTAAGGAACTCTATTGCTACCTTTAAGATATGATGCAAAAAGAAGGAATAATGAAATCATGTTCTCTTCACATTACCAAGATTATGAAAAGTTGCAAATATCAGAAAGGCAGCTTGGTATAAAATAACGAATGTGGACTTTGCAATCAAACAAAAGGTTTCAATTCCAGAACGACTGATTAATATTGACAACAACCTTGGATGTGTTAACTTAACATCCCTGAGCAATGGTTTCCTCATGAGCAAGGAATAGTTCCTATTACACTGCAGGGCTTTGGGGAAGATGATAAATGTTCACTAGAAGGACAAGGCATTGCTTAGCATACAGTAGAAACTTGTTAAATTCAAGCTAATATTATTTTTATTACATTACCTAAGTGAGAGAAGTTAGGTTTCAATTCCAGAACGACTGATTAATATTGACAACAACCTTGGATGTGTTAACTTAATATCCCTGAGCAATGGTTTCCTCATGAGCAAGGAATAGTTCCTATTACACTGCAGGGCTTTGGGGAAGATGATAAATGTTCACTAGAAGGACAATGCATTGCTTAGCATAGAGTAGAAACTTGTTAAATTCAAGCTAATATTATTTTTATTACATTACCTAAGTGAGAGAAGTCCCTACAATCCAAAGGATGGCAGTGATGGAAACAGATTCCTCGAGCTGCCTTACGATGAGTTTTATGTTTGGTCATCTCATTGGTAATGAGCCACAAAACCGAGATTGGAATGTGATTTAAGATATAACAAACAGATGGGCCGGCCCGGTGGCGCACTGCTACTGTGCGCCGCTTGGGAGCGAGGCGGCGCTCCCACCGAGGGTTCGGATCCCACATACAGACCGGCTGCTCACTGGCTGAGCGAGGTGCGGGCGCAACACCGAGGGTTGCGATCCCG